GTACTTTTATAAATATTCCGCCATCGACCCCGAACACATACTCATACGCTCTCAACGTTCGAGGGGCGATGATGACGTTATATTTCACCCTCACCCCTCGCCATTCACGCTAATAAATACATGCGCACACACAACACAAAAAATTATTATTGAATTAAACCATGCCAAAGTACAAATTTCTTCTTTATGCAATTTATGCAATACTCATTCAATCCGATTATGAAACATCTCGTATAGGGATAAGAATTTTCACCCTGGAAATCATTCAATTTTGACTTGACTTTATACTTGGCATTTACGTTCAGTCAAAGGTGTAAGGGCCCGCATATGGTGTCTTTTGTGTTGGAAATGTTTTTTTTCCGTAGTGGATTATACAACGCAAGTTTTTGTAAAAATTTTGTTTAATTAAAAAACCTGCAATGTTTACAAGATATATTTTGGATGATTGTGTTTAACAGATTTGCAAATGAAAAATGGTTGATACGACCGAACCGATGACACCATTTGAAAACCAATTTTAGAAAATAAATTATTTTTATACAAAGAAAGTTTTAAAAACTCGCGTGAATTTTTCAGTTATTAAAATATTACTGTATGCGGATGGCATGGTTATTTTAGCAGACACTTCTTCAGAGCTTAAGAGGATAAAATGTTTCATGCCTATTGTGAACAATGGAATCTGACAGCTAATTTACACAAATCAAACATTATTGTGTTCAGAAAGAATGGTAGCTTAGTTACTTCAGGGATGAAAAAGGTGTCCTTTTTAGATGACCCGGCTGAATTTCTCTTGAACGAATGACTCTCTCTCTCTCTCTCTCTCTCTCTCTCTCTCTCTCTCTCTCTCTCTCACTCTTCTCTTTTCTGAACTACATCTAATATTTGTAAACCAATGACTTCTGGCAGCGGATCGGACGATCCATTTCGAAATGTTTTTTCTTTTTTTAACAAATTTTTTAGCTTTTTAAATAATTATAAACAATAACCTTTTCTTTGAGAAATGTCAAAAATGTTGTAAATATTCTTGCTTATTAGAATGTGTAAGACGTACAGAAACATTTTTAATCTTAAGATCTTCCTTATACAGCCAAATGAAGAAAATGTCCCCGGGCTATATTCCCAACTAAATATAAAGTGATCCTGAAATATTAAAAGCGTACATAATTTATAAAACTGGGAGCAGTATAATTGTAATATTCTATGTAATTATAAATTATTAAAAACTAATTCTTTATGAAATCAGTAAATTTGTTTTCAAAACTAAACATCCATTCCATTCGTTCACGGTCTATCATACAAATTAAACACATTTCTCTCTTCTGATAACTTCAAAATAGCCTTCAAAAATTATAAAACTATTCACACTCTTTTTTCCAAAATTAAAGATTCCACACTAGTAAAAATTAAAGACTGGTATAATTTATAAAATGAATTGTATGTATATCCGGCAACTTATATCGGAATTACATCCCGTAAGATGGTAAAACAACATATCTATGATTGAAAAAAATCTAAACAAAATCGTACAACACTGTCTACCCACCATTTTGAACACAAACACAATTAAACACAGAACAAAACAAACTAAACGTAACATTTTAGAAATTTTACATCAACAGAGACAAATAGAGCATAAATTACCGAACAGACATATGTAAAGATGAGATGATGTATCGACCTGCTTGTTGAACAACTTGAACGAAAGGATCTTTAGTGAAGTCACAACAAAAACGAAAAAAAATTTCCACACTCATCGAGTTAAAGTAAGATAAATAATTGTTTTTGTAATTTTGTTTTTTTAAATGATATAACGTGTTCTAACTGTGATATTTTCCTAAAATAAATAGATCCTGATGATGTCAATATAATCGTCGAAAGCTCGGCCAAAACTTAAAGAATTGTCGTTTTTGTTGTGACCTCACTGAAGATCCTTTTGTTCAAGACATATGTAAACTCAACCGCGGCTACGCTAATCTCATAAATCGAATTCGATATCAATAACATATAAAGCATATAATATAACATAAAAAATAATCATTACAATTCTACATAGTCTAAATTGCGAACAATTTATCTCTCTTAATACCGTCTATAATAATCCTGAAAGGGTTGTTTATAATCATTACTTTTTTTTCCATTGTCTGTCCATTTCTCCTCAAAGAAGCAAGCTCTTCATAGAAAAATCAATTTCTATCCCTATTTCCTTCCTAACTCCTTCAAAATCAAACAAATATACACAAAAACATTAATGTCTCACTAACACTCTCGCCACGACACTCAATCGTGACGAATCTGCACAAAAAAACACACTCTGAGTGAGTACAAATACTTTGATTAAACCTAAAATTTCTATATTGTGTACATCAAATTCACTAATTTCGTGGTCCTCTTGACCAATTAATATATTACAATTAATTAATGTTTTTAGAGTCGAGATAAAAAAGTCAATGGCACGAGCGGGATTCGAAAATGAAGTATACTTCACTAAAGCTCTCCGTGGCCATTTCATTTGTCGTCGAGAATCCAACCAGATTACACGACATTTGAAAAATGGCAAAAAGGAGGGACAATTCAAAAGGTGCGGTTGAGATGGGAAGTTGGTGTCCGATTGGATCGAGTGGTAGAGCAGCGGCGTATCAAGCAGAAGATCGTGGGTTCGAATAATTAATTGTAATTGTGTACATCGTTTAGTAAATTCATTTTCAAATCTTATATGTATCTGTATAATTAAAACGTTTCCGTTATCGTGCCAACGTTTCGATCATTATTGAGATCATCTTCAGGGCTTGGGGTTTATAAGCATTGTTTAAATTTTACAAATACATGTAGGATGTGCAAAAAAAACTTTGATTGAACATAAAATTTCTAGCGTTGTATAAATTCATTTTTTTTCACATCCTACATGTATTTGTAAAATTTAAACAATGTTCATAAATCCCAGGCCCTGAAGAGGATCTCAATAAAGATCGAAACGTTGGCACGATGAAGAAAATCACACCAGACCGCATCTCACGATCTCTAAATAATCTTTAAAACCAAATTTGTTGATATTTGTCTAATCCAAACCCGCCTAAACGTTTATCTAGCATCACTGTTTTGAAACTAAAAGAAAACATTTTGTCCTTGTCATTGCGGACATTATAATACTCGGAATTAAAACGAACATTAAAACGTGGGAACGCATTGATCGCAAAAATGCCGAATCCGGATTGCCTGGAGAGACGTTCAGGAGAACGGAGCGAAGATCGTGAGAGTGGTTGGAGACGCAACGTGTTTAAGTCACTTGTCAAGTTACTGAGTGGTTTTAAAGACAGAATTCAAAATTGAATGGCGATCACTGAAGAGTTGGTGTCGGAGTAAAGGCAATGTCAGGTTATTTTTTTTTGCCAGAGCGTCTCGCTCGTATCACTCGCTCACTAAATTGAGCCAACTCTTTTGATCAGCTCGTGAGCGGAGACCCCATCTATAATATTATAATTAAGCATTATATGCGTTTAGCCAACGAATATGTACTTCAAATATTAATTATTTTTAATGATCGCTTTTTAAAACCGCATAGAAACTTTTTATTATTTTTTAATATATGATAGCCAAAATTACTAAAATAAAACTAAATACTACACGTAGGAGCTTCTTCTCTGCTGATCCAACCCAGTGACCCTCCCATTTCCTTTTGATCATATTTTTTATTGCATTTTTAGCGCCAAAGTGCCTGATCGCGATAGTCAGGTTCAATTCAGATTGGAACGTGAATTGAAGAGATTCAAATTATGACTCTTATTTGAACAATAAAATCATTACTTTTGATATTGATATTACTGATAAAAATATTAAAAGACATTGAGAGGTGTTCAATTCAATTACCGACCATGAATTGGCTTATTAATATTTTCTTACGCTCCATTTCACCGAAATATACCATATGCAATATGCAAATATGAAATATTCAATGAAGAAATTTATTTTCCCTTTTCGATTAGAGTCGCATGCACCACTGCAAGGACATTTAACAGGAAAGACTTTCTCTACACAGAAACAATCTTCTCTCTCAATTCAGTTTCTATTCCAAATTCTCCCTTCTCTTTCAGTTGTATCTTACATATTTCTTTATTTCCAACAAACTCTCGTTGGATACGACATAAATTGTTACAATTGCTTGAATTTGAATAAAACGGCGTTTATCCGTCAGAACAGTCCTCTTCTAAAGGATAATGTCGGTTTTTTCCATTTAATTTTAACAATACGAAAGGAATTTATCGATTATTTTTATACATTAGACGGAGTAATTAAAATATTTTTTCGAGGAGGGGTGAAGGCCTGAAATTTCATTGGGGACGTTGCAAATCCAATCCTGATCTCAGCTTTATTGATAAAATGATATTATCGACACACAAACCATGTCATAAAATTGACGGATCTAATATATTTGAAAAAAGCATGTAAATTAAACAATGTCGCGATAGTTTGTGAAACGTGGTAAGAAACAAATGAAGAATTGCGACCCATCAAGCCAACATTTAATTGGGAAATTAGCATTAATGAGCATACTTTGAGATATGAAAACTCCAACTTCAAAGACTTTGAATGTTAGCAAATAAAGAGTAGTAGTAATTGGGTTTTGAATACTAACGCTGACGAATATTTTACAATAAAAAGACCTTTCTCTAATTTACATTTTTTTTAAGTTATTTAATTTTTATCAACAATTTAATTATACTGTCGTTGATACCATTATGTATGTATATAATAGCTAAGTAAAAATGTGTGGTGATTAAAGCTAAGTAAAAATTTTACAAGGGGCTACCGGCTAACCGATATGAATATTTTGAAGATCAAAAAGCAGTAGTGATGTATCCGTCCGCCTTTGAAAACTATAAAAAATAATTTAAATTGTTTTTGTTCGTTAAGTGGACTGTATATGAATGGGTAAATACCTTTATGTTAAAATTTAAAGAGTGAATCCGAGGAGGGGATTGGGATACTTTTAAGTTTGCACTTACCCCAACGAGTTCAAGCAGCTCGGCCCCAGTCGTCCTCTTCTTTCTTCGACTAGGTAGGGCCCCACAGTCTCCGGCGGATTCAGACGTTTGGTACCGAACTCTTAAGGGACACGGGCAGGTCGTAAAAACCATCAATTGCGCACAACACGGGTTTAGATAGGCAGGTATAACGGTGTTCTCGGCTTTGGCTCTAGGCAACAACTGACTCGCCGACCGGCCGGAGACCTCCAGAAGGGTTCAAAGGGCGATCGGCGTAAACA